GTACTAGTTCTTTGTGGTGAAAAAATAGCATATTTCAGTATATGTATGATTGAAATGTTTTCTGGAAAGGAGAGGAAGAGAGGCTGTACATTTTAAACAAAGCTCTAATTCCTGCATTAACACCGTGGCAAAGTTCAAAAGGTTGCATTTTTAGAGGTGAACCAGAACTGAGATGTAGCTATATATATAACCTATATAACCCAAGACATTTTCCGTCTGTCTAAGTCTTTAGGTTGTTCTACTAGTAAAACAATTGCTATCATTTGTAAAATTTGAATCCTGAAGGAAATCCATTTTTTGGCTTCTTACTTGTGGCTTGGTGGCTGGATATAAGTTTAAATTATTTCTGTGCTTTTAGAAAAACTAAGCTGTTGGTCCAGTTTTAAAAAAAAACCCAACTTACTTAGAGGTTGTCCATGTATTTTGAAGTCTCTTCCTTTCTTGTGTGTTGATTTTTCCCTTGAGCACTTGCTAGTTCAAAGATGTGCGTTTTAAGAGTTCTGTAGACTAGGTGCCCGCATGGGTGATGCACCTTCTCTTTGCAAGGCTGGGATAGCACTTTCTACGCTGTGGGAAGAACTGGACGATGTTTGTCCCTTTCCTTCAGTTATTTGTGAGGAAGAACTAAGCCCAATTTGATCTCATGCATAATGTTGGAGTATGTGTTTCATGTTAGCCGTTTCTTCAAACACATTCTGCTCCAGTGTGTGTATTTTGATTTAATCTTCCAAATATTTTTCTGAAACGTGTTGTTCAGACCTGCCAGCCATGCCTTCCAAACACAAAACTCCTCTGGTTTTGATGTTTTGTGATTTATTTTTAGAAATGTAACAGTTCTGCCTCCTTTGCTTGAAGATACTTAAAAAATATGTTGGAATCGCCCATTTTGCTCTGAGACTTCAATTGCAGTAAATGTCACTATATGATGTGATATAGGCAACCTTAGTTTGGGTCTTAAGAGGAACATTGCTTGACGTGTTTAGACTGGAGGCTGAGAGATTTAGGATGAGCTCAGTTATCTTTTTCCGCTGAAGACTGCTTATCATCCTTACCCAAAGTGGCTATGGGTTTAGATTTGCCCAGGATTTGCAGTTTGTGAGCAAATGGTATTTATACAGAATGACAGCAGAGGGAGAGTGTGGAAACTAGGAATTGTTCTCTGCTGGAGGCGCCTGTAAGAGAACAAATCATCCAAAACGGGATAGTGGTAACGTAGATGACGTGGGTCCCTGGCAGCTGGAGCCGTGGACACTTGCAGAGTATCTGCTGTAACCTACATTTCCAAAACCACACGACCGACCCTTTCTATAGGGAGCAGGGGAAGTAACACAGATACAGACTTTTTACACGCTGGTATAGAGAAGCAATAAATTAAGCATTATTGTGTATTTCTTAGTAAGGTCAGTCCTCACACTAATCAAATAGGATCTGAAGGCATTATTTCTGACATAGGCAACATCCAAGCGGAGTGAGTTCCTTCAGTTTGTTTACACAGAGGTGCAAGGAACACATACATGCGTACACACAGAGAAAAATGACAGTTTTAACACCTGAAGTTGGGTCATTTTGGAAATGTAGCAGGCTGATACACAAAGAAATTCAGGAAGCGAAGGGAAAGTGGTGCATCGGCGGGTATAAGGTGAAACTGTCAGTATCTCAATAAAGGCATTTTTTCCACAGGTAGACTTGGCAAAATGCTACTTGTGGCTTCTGCTGTATTTTTTGAGCAAAGCATGGAGACAACTGCAGACTTCAGTTAACCATGATAAACCATTACCATCTTGAATTTATTCTCTGTTGACTGAACGCCACAAAATTACTGTATAGATCTCATATTTAGTTACCATTCTGTATGCAGTCTTTAATGAATTACAGCATTTTGATTGCTCACAAAATAAGGAAGGGTGTTGAGGTGACAATTTAAGTGGCCTCTATATATGTACTTCAGAAACACGGAGAGGTTTGTTTCTGTATGTAGAAAAAACTGTTAGTATCCAGAGTGGATTGATTTTTAAATCCATTAATTAAAATAAGTTATTTAAATGTGTCTCATATCAACAAGCAAGAAACTTGATATAAATAATTGAGTTTAGTCCTGTTTTAAATTTGTACTTTCTAGTAATTTTCCAAAGGGAAGGTTGATTCTTACTGGTTTATGACATTGGTAAAATTGTTGATATCCAACTAAATGCATAATTTTGGGTGATATTTGGTACTTTTGTGTGCAAATATGAGAGGCAGTCTTCCTTTTTTTTGTATGATTTATCTGATTCAATATGTTTGCTCTGATCTCAGTTTTCTAGGTCTGTACATGCGAAAATCACGTATTTCTAATTAGGTAGTTAACTTTCACTTAACATTTATTTAACCTCTGGTTTGGGTAGAATTAATTAAATTAAAAAACCCTCAAATTCCTTGCTTCTAGTTAGCTCTGCCCCAGAAATTAAAAATATGAGTGTATATTAAAAAGATGTAACAAGACATTTTTTTGAATACAGCTCCCTTTGTAAGCAGGGAAAGTATTCATCATCCAGTGAATCAGAAATGTATGGTCCTTTAGATATGCAAGGATGATAGTTACTAGTACTGGTTTTTGATTGTTGGTTAAAGGAGGAAGCTAACACTTCCTTATCCACTTTAAATGATCAGGTTGTTAAAATGAACTACATAAACCAAAATTAAGACACAGTTTTGTCTGTAGCTGTAGAGGAGATGGTTGCTGTCAAAAGCTGCTTTTAGCACTTCAATATACCCTATTCTCAGGTCGTCTTCTGATGATGAAATTCCATGTGACTTTTCAATACAGTTTGCCTTGGTATCCAACACATACTGGCTTAAGATGACTTCAGTGTTCTTTTTCATTATTTTATTACTTTATACTAAGGCGTAGACCTCAACATCTGTTGTTCTCATTCCAAAGGTAGTACAAATTAGGAGTTTTAGTTGTACTTTTTTTTTTAATGACACTTTATGACTCCTAATTATTCTCTCTGATAAGGGATTTCTTTTTACAAAGATTCTTGAAGTAGAGCAACCGTGGCTTACTTTGAGGGTTGAATCAGAAATAGAGAAATATGTAATTAGGTGTGTTAGATTACAGTCATGTACATTTATTCAAAATAAAACTTTAGGGCAAATTTGAAACTGTGACAGAGTAGACTAGCAGCATTAAGTGATTGTTAGGGAGAGCTTTAAAGGCTTTTTAGCCTGTTTTGCACTGATGAGAAAGCTCCTTTGCCGAATTTGAGCTGTCTATGCCTTTCCTTGACTATTCAAAAGCACTTTCTTTAACTCTCTTTTACCAAGTGTACAAGTAAGCTCTTGGAGACAGCTAGGTGTCAGGTTAGAAGTGGCCTCCCTTCTGCTGGTTGAAGCAGATCAACTGGCGACAACAAACCAAAAATCCCTAATCCTACAGAAAAGCTTGTTGAGAAATCAAATGGTAGCTAGTGCTGGTGGAGACAATAAAGAAGGACTGCTCTTTCTGGTGACCAACAGCTGGTATAGCCGTATTATAACACAGCCCTCCCTACAAGCAGTTGTGCATGCTCTTCTTCCCTAAAGCACTAGGTTTAAATCATAAGTGTGTTCTGTAGTGTCAGGTGTTTAACAGTTGGAGAGATGTGATCTAAAAATTGCACAGAAATGGATTAATTCACAATCACTGCCAAAATCTTTGAAGGAAATCAGAACTTCCTAGGTCTGTTCATTGCAGGGAGGGGAACTGAATATGGGATGACAGTCTTGTTAGAAGCAGCATTCTCATTTATTTCTTTGAGGAGCATGTGCAAACATCAAGGTTAAGGTCATAACAGTATTGCCATGTTCTCACCCCTTTCATTCCTGGGTCTTTAAAATAAAATTCACCAAGGTGAAACAAGAAACTGGGGTGAGAGTAGAAGCTGAGGTTAATTTTAACTTGATCAGGCCAAGACAACCCACCATTCTGTCTATCATTAACATAAGATTACTTTGCTTTCTGGTTAGGAATGAACAGAAACCTGTGTTATATATTAGAATCATAGAATGCTTTGGGTTGGAAGGGACCTTTAGAGGTCATCTAGCCCAACCCCCCAGCAGTGAGCAGGGACATCTTCAACTAGATCAGGTTGCTCAGAGCCCCATCCAACCTGACCTTGAATCTTTCCAGGGATGGGGCCTCTACCACCTCTCTGGGCAACCTGTGCCAATGTTTCACCACCCTCATCATAAAACATTTCTTCTTTATATCTAGTCTAAATCTACCTTCCTTTAGTTTAAAACACTTGCCCCTTGTCCTATTGCAACAGGCCCTGCTAAAAAGCCTGTCCCCATCTTTCCTGTAGGCCCCCTTTAAGTACTGGAAGGTCACAATAAGGTCTCCCCAGCGCCTCCTCTTCTCCAGGCTGAACAACCCCAACTCTCTCAGCCTGGCCTCATAGGAGAGGTGCTCCAGCCCTCAGATCATTTTTGTGGCCCTCCTCTGGACCCGCTCCAGCAGGTCCATGTCCTTCTTGTGCTGAGGGCCCCAGAGCTGGATGCAGTGCTCCAGGTGGGGTCTCACCAGAGCAGAGCAGAGGGGCAGAATCACCTCCCTCGACCTGCTGGCCACGCTGCTTTTGATGCAGATTGAAAGAAGAGACTTGTTCTGCAGAGACGTGTGTGCACTCTGAGCTGTAAAATGACAGAAATGCAGCACCTGCAGGCAGAAGGAAAACTACCCGTTGCAGCGTGTACCTCCATCTTGCAACGGCCCAGGGTTTGAAATAAGGGGCTTATCGCTGAACGGCTTTCATGTGCAAGAGGAAGTACATGCATGGGGAAGACCTAATGTCCGACACCATACACCCAGAGATTTTTCATATATGTGAATGGGTTGCCTTCATGATGAAAAGGGAGAGGTGTGCGTCTTGGTGAAAAACGTGACTGGCAAAAGCTTCATTTGTTCACTCCCCCCTCCCCAGCAAATTGCCTGAAAGTGGATCATAAACAGCGATGCATCATTACTATTATCTCCCGGTATGACTCACTGGGCCATATATAGCAGCCTGTCTTTTGAGAAGAATTCTTACTCAGAGCAAGTAGGATGTGGAAACAAATATTAAATGTCAGACTGTTATGTCACTGTAGCATTAGAATTTCTTTCGTGGCAGATAAAAATGTCTAAAAATGGCTTAGAACAGCAATGCCTGTCGTGTTAAGCAGGTATTGTCAGGTTAAAAATCCTCATTAGTTTTCTCCTGATTGAATGCTCTTATTTTCATAATATTTATCTCTTTTTGGGCAACAAGAATGTGTTCGTTGATTGCACTAGCAAATTCTTGGATATTTCAATATTTGGATTGCTAGTAATGCAAGGTAGCAGGTGGCTTTTGGAGCATACTTTAGGCTTTTTTTACTTTGTGTTTTTAAGACCCTTTGATTGCCTCATCATGCCACAAATTAATCCTCTGTGATTTCTTTCTGTTCTCTTTTAGTTGTTAAAGAAACTGCTTGTCACATCCAAGTATGGCTCATAATGTTGATCCCTTTTAAGATTCTTCTGTCCTTCTTTTAGAAACATTGCCTTTCTGGAATACTAACAGCATCCTCCCTCCGTATTTTGCATTAATTTAGTACCTTGAAATTTAGACTGCTTTTCTTGCCAAGAAAGACTACCCAAGGCTTTCTTCAGGGTTTCAGTGATTGCTGCTGGACCAGCCTCTCCATCCTTATCCCCAGACGAACTCTAGGCTGAGGATCCAGAGCTCTGTTTTTCTGGTGCTGTTGCCAGTGTCACTTTTGTTCCATGTCTACTGCTGTAGTAAAGTACTGCATTGTTTGTTTATGTTGCATGTATGTTGACTCAGCTTTCAAGCTCAAGATTTTTAAATATGCACTGGGAAATAAGAATCTTTTCTTGCGTTTTGTGATAACATATTGACAAAACTGTGTTAGTAAAAGAAATATTCCTGTGTTCTGTTACAGGTTTTGGGATTTGAAGTTGATACGGTGAACTCTGTCCAGTTTTCAAACCACACAGGTAAAATTTTACATGTGTCTTCAGATACCACTCCAGAGTCACTCAGCTCTACTTAAGATGTGGCTCATGTCATCACATGACAGTGGAAAGGAGATTGGTCTTATATTTTTGCCCACATTTTCAGGATATAGGACAGAAATGTAATTTTCATGTTTTGATTCGAGTCTGGATTTGGGATTAGGACATGATATGACATGGTAATATCCTGCCACTTCAGAGTGTAAGTTCTTCTGTTAGGCAGTAATCTAACTCAGACAGTGAAATAACACAAGTAGGGCTGGCCTGGTTTTGGCTGGGATAGAGTTTTCTTTCTAGTAGCTGGCATAGTGCTGTGTTTTGGATCTAGGATGAGAATAATGTTGATAACACACTGATGGTTTAGTTATTGCTGAGCAGTGCAAAGTCACAGCCTTTTCTGCTTCTCACACCACCCCACCAGCAAGTAGGCTGGGGGTGCACGAGAAGTTGGGAGGGGACAGAGCCAAGGACAGCTGACCCAAACTGACCAAAGGGCTATTCCATACCATATGATGTCATGCTCAGCATATAAACTAGGGGAAAAGCTGGCCCAGGGTCTGCTGCTCGGGAGCTGGCTGGGCATCAGGTAGGAGGTGGTGAACAATTACATTGTGCATGACTTGGTTTGTATATTCTTTTTCATGTTATTATTTCTCCTTTATTTTCTGTCCTATTAAATTGTCTTTATCTCAACCCACAAGTTTGACTTTTTTTTTTTTTTTAATCTTCCTTTTCTTTTTTCCCATTTCTCTCCCCTGTCCCACTGCGGGGGGAATGAGCGAATGGCTGTGTGGTATTTAGCTGCCTGCTGGGTCAAACCACAGCAACATCCATCTACAGGCAGGCCTGTGAACAGGAGAGTCTTCAGTACTGTTTCCTGTGCAGTATGGCCCTATGACACTCAGAATCATCTTACCAATCCAAACATCAGAAGAATACTGAACTAGATGCAATGGTTCATCTCTTTATGTGCCCACCCAGAAGGCTAGCAATTATCCTAAAATTACATTCTGGAGGGAGGAAAGGGGTAGGGTGTTAATACATTTGGGTTCTAAGCCTGAATGTGATGCACTCTCATTGTATTTTTAGACTTCCTAACACTCACTGTGCTAGAGGACTTTATTTTTCAAAAGAAAGCTGAAATTTATGTTTGTTTTAGCAATACCTTTCACCCATAAAGCTCCAAGTGACTTTCTGTATTTGAATCAGTAGAGCCCCATCTACATGGTCGTGGCAGGTTGTTTGACAGAAGATCTACTCTAGGTAAAGAAATTCTAAGGGTGTGTTAAAAAGTAAACAACGAACAAATTCTGACTTCAACATCTTGTAAAAGAGCAAAAATTGTTTCTGACAAAGTAAAAAAAAAAGACACAAGTTGCGATACTTTCGTAGTATCTCACAGGTACAGCTCTATTAATAAACTGCTAAACTTTTGGAACAGAGAACGTACCAGGAAGCCTCTGTCCTCTCTTACTGTGTTGAGCTCCATGCAGCTCTCGAGGTTACAAGGTGTTCCTAATGTGGAAGTAATTTAGTGTCACCCTAGGAAGAAGAAATTAATGTTTCAAAGGTAGCTAGAAAGCCATCTCTGCTTTTTGAGGAAAGGCACAAAAGAGGTAATAATTAAACAAGGGGTGGATGTCTTTCCTGGCTCAGGCAAAAAGCTGCTTATTCTGCTTGTACACTTTAGCACAGTACAGAGGTTCTCTAATGTTTTTAAGAGATGTTTAGATGTGATTTATGTTTCTTTAATTTATTTAGTTTTGGAGTTTGGGATTTTTTGTCGTTTAGTTTTTGACAGCTGGGTAGAACTGTTGTAATCTTCCAGAAATGAAGCATTTTTTTCATGTGAAATAACTCGGCGCTCAAAATGGATGAGCACCTGTCGTTTGTTTGCTTTCAGTTTCAAGATTAAATCAGCTTTATAGGGCGTTAATAGGGCTTAATAGAGTTTTCATTGGACCATAAACTGAATGTTTCTGAAGGTAGGAAAACTACATTACCAATAGGATGACCAGATTCTTTAAACAGAGAAGAGGAGAGGTTGGTTTTTTGCTTTTGGGGTTTTGTTTTTTTTTTTAAATAGTATCACAGCTGGAGAAAGGTTACCAGTGCTTCATTCAAGGCTTGGCAGACAATGAAGATAGCAGAAGGAACAACAAACTAGTGATCCTCCTCCTCCCCACCAAAGGCCTAAATGAACATCCCAAAACTAAAAAAGTCTCAAAGATCACAAGTCTTTAAAATATTTTGAATTTTTATTTTGTTTCCTGGTGTTTAGGAGTCACGTTATCAAGTTTTTTTCTGTATCTTGATTGTCTTAGTAAATGTATTAAAAAGTCCCAAAGATCCATGCACAACCCCATGACATTGGGAAGCAGAGCCTTCAGAAAAAAAATCACAATACAGTAAGTGTTTGGCACTTGCCCAGCATGAGTAAAAGGAGAATGTATTTAGAAGTATTGGACATTTGGCTGAAAGAGGAAGGAATGGCAAAGAAAGGGAGGGCACATATTCCCTTTTATGACAGGGCTAGTTTTGTAACACTGCAGTTTATCTATGAAATCCTTTCTATCCTTTCTTAAATTGAAGGATAGATTCTAAGCCCAGTGGCTTTGCACCTCTTCCTTGAGAGAGGCATGTAGGAACATGTGGTGGCCTCATACGAAGACCTTTCCAAGTTTGAACATTTACACGTGCCTGCACACAAACTTGCACTAGTACTTGCAAATCAGTGTACGTGCAGTCTGTGCCACTGCAGGGATTAATGAACAGAAACTGTCATGCTGGGCTGTGGCTTGTGTCCGGAGCAGTGCCACAATACACAGGAATCGCGTGCTGGATAAACTGCCGAAGATAACTTGATTTTCCTACAAGAACAAGATCTTATGAGAAACCTTTTTGTGATCATCATTAAAGCTGAAGGGCAAATTTTTGCTTCAAAAACTGTGAGCTCCAATTTCTAAAAGAATGTGACATACCAGAGGGGGCACAGGTAGCAAAGTGTGTGGGGTTTCGGACATAGCATTCTTTCTTTCCCCATCCCTGTCTTTAAACCTGGTCTTGTCAGCAAAAGATACAAGGCAGAGAGAATTTATGACTAACAGGCTTTATTTGATGAATCATTATTGCTTTTTTTTGCCCTGTCTTTAAATTAGTAAGATACCACGGGCCTGTTTCTGCTGACTCCTGCTCAGAAAATTCAGCTTTCTTTAGTCTCTGATAATCATGAAATCTGGAAAATGTGTTTTAAATCAGTCCCCCTGGGAGAACAGTTTGTCATGTTGCTTGGTGAGGAACTTTTATGATTCGAGTGACTCACTTGAATGATGACATGCTTCATATACAAATAACAGAAACTGTCATGCAACCTATAAAGATTCTCTGCTTTTTGTTCTATTTTACTTTATTGTTTGCAGAAGCAGCTTATCACTGATATGCAAAAATAAAAATCTAGATTTTTTTTTTATTGTATCATTGATTTTTTTGGGGGGTGCATTTTTAATTCTTCAGTGATTTGCATTTTTGTTTTTAATTCGTAGGTTAATGGTAAGCATATAATGTGCTTACTTTGCCATCCAAATCCTACCATTGAAACTGCTCCAGAACAAGTAGCTCGTGGGTTTTTTTTCTGTTCCTTTTCTGTTTATTTTTAAGCAAAGCACTGTTGGACTTCCACTTAGTGCGAGTGTAGTGGGTGGTTGGTTGGCTGGTAGGTCTAATACATGAGAAATTATAATTATGTCTTGTTGATGTGATTCTTCACAGTCTACCGCCCATATGCAGTCATTCACACCTGTGCAGTGCAAGACAAAAAGAAAAGATCTCCACTCGTTCCTAACACTGGAGTATTTTACTCCTACACTGACCAGCTGTAAAAAATCCAATGGAGAATTTGGTACTGTATTTCTGGTTTTGTTGAAGGCCTCCTGGTAGCTGAAGATTAAGTCATGTGTTTAGATAGGGTTGTCTGCCAGAGTTTGCATGCGAATTTTGTGGCACAGCTGGGACCAGATTGCCTGCCCATCATGTGCCTTAAACACTAGATCTTTCTTCCTTTTTCCCAGGTAAAATACTTGATTACTGAAGCCACTTGGAGTAGTTTCACAGGGAGCACCACAGGAGGAACTCAGACCTCAGAACAGAATGTTCTGGGTTGGGAAACAAATCTTACATGTCTTGCTATACTTAAATGGTAGCTTTTTTGTTTTGTTTTGGGGGTTTGTTTTTTTTTTTGTATGCATGGGATTTTTATTCTTTTTTTCCCCTTGTTTTTGAAAGTAATTAAGAGGCTTATAAAAACATTCCAAAGGAGAGAAAAAATGTACCAGTGGAGGAAGGCAAGAAAGAAAAGTACATAAATTAATCTTGGGTGCAGTATTAGCTGCCTCTCTTGGTTGTGGTTTTAGGTTTTTTTCTTTTTCATACAGATGAACTGAGACACTTCCTTGGAGACTAATGAATACGTTTATCATTTTAGAGGGATACATGACAAGAAGCATCATCTTACCTGTTTTACATTCCCTTATCTGCTTAAAGGCAAATATATAACATTTAATTGCAATAAAAGGCCATAACGTAGATAAGCAGAGGGGTTATAAAGATGTTTAAATGTTTATGTTCATCTGTGCATTTAAAATTATTACTAATCTGGGAGATTTACGCAGTCAGTCTGAGCCAAGTGCAGTTTTGGAGAGCTGTATCATGATTGGCAGTGTTCTCTCTGCTCTCTCAGTCCAGGACTGAGGGGAATTATTTGGTGGTTTTGTAACCAACCAAGGAAGACTCAGCTTTCTTCCTCCATGGAAGATATGAGCCAAGATCTCACCTTAATATCCAAGATAAAAGAGTAATAATTTGATCTAGCTGCTATGCCTAACCAGCTCTGTAGTCTCCAAATGGGATGCAGTTGTTTTGCCAAGTACAAACTTGAACCTCATTCTTTAGTTTTCTTGGCTGTGGTTCTTGTATAATGTGTGCAAATAGCCAGGTGCTGTGAGACTTTGAACTTCTGTATTGTTGAGTGCCACAGTGGAAATATTACTGCAGAGTAGGAGTTACAGTAAGTGGACAGTTAAACAGAAGACTTTAAGTTTTTCTGTTGCTGTTTTTCAGATATTCACATCTAGTGGTTTAGGCGTAGGGATAACATTTCTAGGAAGCTGATTTTCTTTTAGGTCTTGCAAGGCAGCTCTGAGCCTTCAAATGTCCTCGTTGCCAGCTGAGTTCTTATGTCTACCTGAGGAAGACAGCGATTCCTTGTTGTCATCCATAACTCCAACCACTTGTGCCTTTCCCTAAAGCCAACTGGACCTCACATGTTTAAGGTTACTGTTGGCATTCCCTGCTTAACTAGCTTTGGGTTCAGGGCTATGCAGTGATTTTTTGACCACGCAGTATCTCTCTGGATTTTTTGCCTTTCCCCTTTCAAGATAATCCCTCTCACTCTTCCTGTGACCCCAAGGTATCCATCCTTCAGTTAGTGGAACACTTTTTGAACATGAGTAGCAGGCTTTTTCTTCTGTCCCACTACAGAAGCTGCTTTTCGGTTGTATATTGCACCAGGAGAGTACAATAAATGCAGGGTTGTGGGATGTGCCCCTTGTTCATCATGTTACATGAAATTACCCTGGGCAAAGGGCTTAGGGTCGTTTCCATCTTGCTGCCAGTTTTGATTTTGTTTGTTTCCTCTTACTCAAACATAATTCAACTCCTAGTGAAATCACAGTTCTCTCTAGATCCAATGAAGGCATTGCCCTTTTTCTTCTGTCTGAATAGCTGGGGCTTCCATGAGAGCTTCCCTAGGGCTTTTTTTGCCTCCAGCTGTCGTGTGATTAGACTTCGGGTTGTAGTACACGTGTTACCAGGTGGTAAAAAGATCCTTTAGATACCCTTGGAAGTCATTGCTACAGAGTTCGGACAATGTCCCTGCCCCATGTGGGGTAACTTACCAATTCCTGAGCTAAGCTGGGCTGCTACCTAATATTTTGTTTCTGTATTTATTTCCCTCCCTCAGTGGAGAATCAGTGTGACACGGACCCTGTGCACTGACTGTTTAAGACAGCTTGACATAGGAAGGTGAACTTTTAGTTAAAAAGTGAATGCACAGGGTCCCTCTGTAGGAATGGCTCCCGCGAGTATCTAGATTGTATGGACAATCTATCATAGTTATTTTTATGGCCATGTGTAAGATGAATGACTGCTCGTTTGCCAGCTGACCTTGATTCTGGGTGAAAACTGCACATGGTTTCATTGATGGGCACAATGGAAAAAAAGGGATTCTGTTATGTCGTGTATGGGCTGGCTTTGCAGTGCTAATAGAAGTAGAGATTCAGGGAAGAGGAGAGGGCAGATTATTTCTCTCTGAAGCTGCAGGTGACAGAACAAACGTCTGCATATATGTTAAATAAGCCGAATACTTGAGTTAGCTGTAGTCAATGGTTCCTCATATACTTGGGACTAGATGTGTACCTAGGTGTTAGGCATTGCCGTTTTGAATATCACTGTGTTCTACAATGGAACTACAGCCCTAGCATACGGGAATCCCTCACTTTGTCCATTTCTTCATGGAGACTTTTTAAAAAGCATTTGCTAGGGAGAGAATTGTAGCGGCTGATGTGAGTCAGTCCCCCAGCCAGCTGGCAGCGAGTTGTGTTTTAGAGGCTAGGCTTTTGTGAGCTGAGGAGAACAAAATGATCCATCTGCTCACCCTGCTGTGGGTGTATTTGCTTTCATAAGAAGGAAAACTGAAAAATGTGCTTATGCTAGGCTCTAGGCACCTTTTGGCAGTTACTCTAATAACACAGTTTAGAGTGATAATCAAAGCCAACGGTTTTTGTCACAGAATTTTCAAACTCCAAGAGCAGAAGTTAAAACTAACAAAATCCCATTGTCTTCACACGGGGGTGGTGTGGAAGAAGATACCTCATTTAACCTTTCACTTTTCCTAATTCCACTTAATAAAAATACAAGCTTTTTAACAAACTCTGAATTTATGGAGGTTGGAAGAGTTCAGTTGTGGGTGCTTCAACTAATATCCTGGAGGAAGCCCCATTCTTGTACACAAGGGAGTGATGGCTGCCATCTAGACGGGCAGGCTTTGATGACAAGATGCAGGGTGCATTTACATTTTTCAACAAAAGTTTAGAGTCTGTAAAGGAAGATTCCCCCCCCCACCCCCGTGAAATTGGCTGCCATGGAGCTTGGTCCATCGTTTGCTGAAATCAGTTCAGCTTCTCCCAAGTAACTTCAACTTCCATCCACCTCTCAGCCAAGAATATTGGCTTGTCTTTCTTGGATATCATTGAAGGATAAGAGCGTATGGATATTATTTATCTGTTTACAGTGTCTTTCTGATACTCATTTGCCCCCTCCAGTATCCTCAGCATTAAAACTGTGCTATTTTTGGAAGAAAATCTGTCAGGTGACATTGTATGTTTAAAGAGCATCCATGACAATGTTCTGCTGTGGTCACTCTATTCGTTACATGCACGTCCCAGTAAACGCCCTGTCTGTTGTGTGCAGCAGTGCTGTGTGCCTGTGTCCACACAGACCCACGAGCCTGTTTAAGCTGGTCATCTAGCTGTCAATCTTTTTCTTTTTTTTTATAGTATAAAATACCAAAAATAGTTTGTACTGACACCCTCGTCCAGTGAAGTCTAAAACATACGTTTGTCCCCTTCCACACAGGATAGGGCTAGTTGTATAGGCTCCATGGGAAAACTTGCAGGAGCTTGTGTGTGCTCTGCTCGATTTGCTGATAAATGGACAGTCTCAAACTCCAGTGTAGTCGCTCTAGTTCCTTTGGGAAACAGAGGTGCTAAGAAGTTGAGCACATTAACTGTTCTGCTGACAGCAGCTTTCATTTGGCAACAGCGTTTTACAGAAGGGGAGATGGAAATGCTTTCTGGTGCTAATATCTGATACGGTCCCTCCAAGTGTATAATCTCTGTGATCCTAAATAGAAAATCTAGCTCTTGAAAAATTATCTGACATTTACTTTGCAGGTTATGCCCACTGGAAGGGTCAGGTGTTAAATTCAGGTGAACTTCATGAACTGTATGAAGGACTTAAGCTGAACAAGGTCAACTGGTATGATTATGTACTCACAGGTAAGAAGAGCTTTTTCCTTGGAGTTCCCAGGAGATGTAACCAAAAGTAAAGAAATATAAACCGTATCCCTTCTTATTCCAAACCAAGCAATTACATTTTCCTTCCTTTGATTCCTCCTGCAGTTTCATCTGCATATTATAGTCTCAACTGCTCGTGCTTTTCAATTTGAAACAGCCAGTGTTCTCCAGCCTGAAGGTTGTAATTGGGTGGGTAAATTGATCCCCTTGTACAGTTTACAGACTTGTACAGCCCAGTCGTGTACAAGCTTAATTAATGTCTTGGGAGTGCCTCTACTGAAAAAAGGATGAGGAATGTCCGAGTATTATTTTTAAGTTTATTATGGATACATGAGTTTAACCCTTTTGCCTAAATTTGCAGTACTGGCACTGTGGTGCTATAGCATGATTTTACACACAGTTGTCTGTCGTCATTTTTTCTACTTGGTCTTTAAGGGGTAGTGCTTTGGATATGGAGTAAAGTATAAGCAGGGTTGGATTTTGGTTTTGACTCTGTCATACCTCTTGATTTTTTGTTCTTGTTGCTGTGTAGGTCCTCTGAGTGGATGCAGTTCTGGAGGACATAATGATTGTGCAGTGTTTTCCTTTGCTTGCCACTAGGTACAAAGTGTTTTTAAATATAGGCAAAGAGAACTTCTTGTAGAATACTTTGTAGAAAGGAGAGATTCTATGTGCAGTTTTTGTTAAAGACTGCTTCTCATCCAATTCCTGCTTTTCAGATGTAGATTACTGATTGGGTTTCACCTCAATAAGAGATATGCATCTGGTTTAAATTACAGTATCAATTTTTTACAGCAGTGAACAGTCACTTTTTAAAAGTAAACAGAAATATATTGCCAGATTTGATTGATTTCATGGCTTCCACATGTAGGAAAGTGCTTTATACACAGGGAAAACTGGAGACTTTTAAGTGTATGGATTATAACCCCAAAGCAGTCATTCTGCCTTGAAGGGTGTGGCACAACTGAAGAGTTATTGTCAGTTCTTTTTCAGGGAGTATCTCCAAAGTAAAGGAGACTAAATAGAAAATAGACTGAACTAAGGTAAGAAATTAATTTCAGCATAAACAGGTTCTTTGTGATTGAGAAATAGACAAACTCTCTTTGAAAGAACTCACACAGAGAATGCTTCCAGGAAAAGCACACTGTATTGTAGGAGTTTTCAGGAGATATTAGTATGCAAAATTTGTAAATAAAGTTTGAGTATTCTTTTATCTGAAATGTTCCTTTTTTTAATTTTACTTTCAACTCTTGGAAGAGACCCCAGCTCCTTTCCTATCACTGTCTTATTCTGGCAAAACGAATGTAAGAGCTTAAAAATGGTAGAAGGAAAAACAGAAATCTTCAGCAAAAAGAAATTTTGGAGAAAAAACCCGAATATTTATTAGTATGCCTTTTAAAATAGGGTTTGTGGGTAGATGGGTCAGTGTTTGTTTAAAAATCTCATTCAGTGTAGCCATTTTCAGTACGGACAAAAACAAGGCATGGGTAGAAATGACACTCATTTCTTAAGATCTAATAACACTGTCAGTGTTTAGTATTCAGTTGCGCTGTGGCTGAACTTAAAATTCAGGTTTTTTTCATTCAGGACCAAAAGACAGGTTTTTCTCTTCAAACAGGAACAGCCATTCACTACAGTGCACAACTGTACTCTGTACCTCCAACAACCTGATTATGATTATTCAAACACCGAAAACAAATTAATTTGTAGACAGATGGGATTTGACTGTAATTGTATGTCTGATGACTGTAGATATCTTGGCTGAGATGGAAATTATTATCTTTAGGCTGATGATGCAAAATAACACTTTGTTAACTTTTGTGACTGTTAGTTACTTGTCGATCTTTGTAGATTTGTTCCATTTACAGTAAAACACTCAAGGTAAGAGATAAACTCCAATTCAGTGTAATTTTTTGGAAATACCTCTGTCAATAATGTTAATCATACTCTGTATTTTTTTTTCAGCCAGTCTACCATCACAGGTCATTTTAAACAAAAACCTTTGCTTGGCGTTTTGGACTGATTATCAGCATTTCATAGACATAAGACACAGCATTTTGGTCAAAAATTTTGGAAGCTTTTTCCATTTCTCTGCAGCATCTAAGAATTGATCAATTGCGAGTAAAAAAAAAAAAAATTGCCAAAATGTATTTTTAAATATTTTAGTAAAGTGGACATTTCCAAGCTGAAGGTTTGAAGAAGCTACCTTGCTAAAAGTAATACTACTAAATGAACTAAAATCAATGAAAATAAAATTATTAATTAATAAATGTTGTAAATAAAGTTAATACATAAATATATAAATAAAAACATCTATAAAGAAATTCATGATTAAATAAGAATATTGTGGTGCTAGCATTGTGATTAGGACCTTGAGATATAGTAAAACTTATTTCCAGCTTATTTCATCGCTAAGCCTAAAAATAGGAATTTTATTGGTATATTGGCCATTACTCTAAAAAAGTCAAGATTAATTCTCCATTGCATTAATGTGTTGGACTGTATCAGCACCAACATTAATAATAATAAAAAACCTGCTTCAAACCAGCGTACGAGAAAAGTATATGGAATTTAAAATATTTCTTATTTACTAAATGATAAATAGTACTGATTTGGACTGCTGTTTTGAAGAAAAGGAATGGTTTTTCCTTTCAGCCTGACCTTTTTGTATATATGTTCAAACATTTTGAAGTTGTATGAGCCCTTCATATATAACATACTTAGTAAATGGATTTTTAAGGTTATATTTGTAGTTGTGCAAGCACTGTCTGAATTTGTCTTCCACCTACTATTCCTGAATGAAATACTAAACCGCTTCTGTTCTAAAAATGCATTGTTCCAAAGAATGAGAATTATGCAGCATTCCTATCCAAAATTAAAAAAAAAAAAAAAAACCTGTTCATGAAAACAGAATTTAAAAGTGTCTTTTTTTTTTTTCCAAAGGGTATACAAGAGACACATCGTTTCTTGCAATGGTGGTGGATATTGTCCAGGAGTTGAAGCAACAGAATTCTAACCTAGTATATGGTAAGGATGTGTATTATAATCCTTTCTGCTTCATCAGTGTATATGCTCATCGTTTTCACGTTTTAGGATGAAATGATGTTCTGATGTTACACCATTTCACAACCATCTTGTGCTCTGACCTGGCTGGGACCAGCTGAGGCTCCAGTGAAGTCTCATTTCAGCATTGCTTAAGTGTTGAGGGAGTTGGGGTTTTTTATCTTTCTGATTTTATGCCTTTCAGTATGTTTCTTGCATTATGCTGTCCAAAGGAGAATGTGCCTTGAGGACTGATTGTCTGTATCAAAGAAAGGCTTGTAAAATCCCAGCCAGCTGCTGCTGTTCATATTTCAGAGGCATAGGCTGTAAGTGCTGATAGCTGAAGCCTCTCCTTGGTTTCCAAGTCATCCAAAAGCAGGATAGACTCTCCCGTGTTGCCCTGCCAGGGTTTCCTGTTACATCCCAGAAGTGTCACACTGTGCCTTCTAAGCTTCATAATTTAGCCTGAACTCCAAGGCTTCTTTAACTATGGTGCCCTCTGCTAAGATTACCTAGGAGCACTCAAATATCAGCAGACTGTAGCAACTTGCTGTCGGTAACAAGTCAGGCGTAAACCTGTGAGAAAAGATTCTCCTCTTGCCTTCCTGACTGTCTGAGTGTTTCAGGACTTTTGAACTAACCAGTGTAGGCTTGAATTGGGCAAAACGTTTAGAGTAACAGGGCAACAGTGGGGATTTAGTGGGATAAAAAGCTGTGAATGGTGGTTTGAGCCTCTCACCTTCAGGTTCAGTAAACTGTGTGGTCAGGAAACATCTGGAATGGTTCAACGGATTTGCAAGGTGTAATATCTGACGTAAAATTAACAAAGCACAGTTCTCATTTAGAAAAATGTAGCAGAGATACCTTCATGAGCTTGGGCATTGTTGCTTTTTAGCCTTTATTAGCACTGTTGCATTGCCAGATTCTCCAGAGCCTTGTACTAGTAAGTGAAAGCTAAAAACTCTGTTAGAGTAGGAGCAGAAAGAAACATCTAGCTGTATAGAACAGAAGGGAAGTGGTCAGATGGTGACAACACAGCTAGGCTTCTAAGATGCTGTATTTTTAAATAAATAGATTCTAGTGTGAGGAAAATTCTTTTAAAATGTAAACCAAATTACCTTCTTTTTACTCACAGAAACTTCCTAAAATACTGATTGGACATTGATTTGATACTTTTGGATTTGTATTTCTTTTTTATCTTGCTAAAAGCTCTTTTAATACCATGAACAATGTTCCTTTTTAAAGTACAAGGCTAGGCTGTTTCCATCCTCACTTTGAAACTGAGGGCACTTGGAATATGTTGTCAGTACGGCTGATGATTCAGAGCCTGTGCCAAATGTGTGTTAATATTATTACACCAAGTATGAGTTTAGGTATGGCATGGACTTTCTTCTTGTTTCGTTATAATACACATAGTTTTTCTATGTGTACACACAGCATTTTGGTGTGTATGTTTGGCATGTATCTTTTTACCCTAAAGTAAAAACAGGACTCTTTTTACAGGTATTAACTTCTCCCATGTTTCTTCCCCACCATACTACTATTGCAGTTTTGGGTTGGGGAGTGAAGGGGAGGGCTCTCTGCGTTTTCCATAATGAAAGCCCTTTTACTCTCAGGAGGAGACCCTCTCATCCTCATTACCTTCAGACATAACAACATGGAAGCAGGTAGGAGAGGGTGACTACAACCCTCCGACAATTGTGTAAGACACATGGCCTACTCTTTCAGAATTGGCAGCCACCAGTTATATATTTCAGGTTGAGTGTGCTCCAAGAGCTGTGAGAGTATATATGCTATCAGGTGCTCAGTGTTGTTGCATAGCCACTACTGTTAACTAAAACTTTTCCCTCCCACCAGAGTCTCTATAACTGTACCCCATTTCTAAAGCAAGATTTATTCTGTTACAGTATGCGATCCAGTCATGGGTGACAAATGGAATGGAGAAGGCTCTATGGTTAGTATTTATCTGCTTGGATTCTCTGTATAGTGAATACTTGCTGTATAATGATGTATAAAGATTTATTAATTTTTAAACACCAAACTAAGCTACTTTACCTAAGTGTGGCTTTGGATTCCAGCATCAAGTAAGTTTGTACTTTAATGTCCTGTATTTAAATGAGTTTAGTATCTGGGAAGAACGGTGGCTGTAGAGCCCTGGGATTATTTCTGACTCTCTCCTGAGACAACAGGTGGAATACAGACCCTGTCCACAGGAAAATAACCCCCTGCTCCCCTTCCTTGTCTCACTGGAGTTCCCTCATCTTCTGTCAAGAGCTCTGTTTTGGCTGGTAGCCTGGCTGGCATTGTCAGTGATCACGTGAATTGACATACCACTTGAAGATGACTTATTTCGTGTGAGATCCAGCAGCTGTTAGGCAGTGACAGTGATCAGTGACAGAAAGGTTCTGTGTGCCAATATGAGACTGCATACTGACAAAGAAACATTCCTTTTTGATCAAAGCTAGCAAATAATTTCAGTAAAAATGCAATGTGGGAAGACATCAGCAATAATGATATTTTATGTTTTCTTCTGCCTTAGCTAGTCATGCACTATGAATCGCTCTTTGTCCTTGTACCTTTTTACAGTTTACCTGCTCATAAAACAGCACATGAAGTAGCACTTAGTAATAAATTAGCCGTTGCTTCTGTGTTCTATTCTTTCATTTTACATTTATTGCAATATTTATTGTCCTGGGCTTTTTCTAACAAGGCAGAGATCTAGCAGCTGTAGAGTCACCTTGCAAAGCTTTAACTCTTGGGAGAAGTCATAACCATGGGCCTACCTGTGTCTTTTGGGTGGAAGATAAGGTAGAGGGGAAAAAGAGGAGATTATTTAACATGCAACCCACCAAGTCATTCCTGCCATAAAAAGTAATAAAATCATTATTTAAAGTGCCTTGGTTTAGATGTGACCTAGTCTTGCATTTCTGTCTAAAGGCAAAGTCCCTGTGACATCATCGCTTCACCATGGCTGCATGAGTGAGCTCAGTATCAGTATGATGGGTGTTCTGGTAGCACCTAGCAGTCAACACTGTCGTGGGGTTGTACCTGTTGCTGATACAATTAGAATGGGAGACAGTAATACATAGGCACGCGTATACAGGCACCCTGCACTGCGTCGTAAACAATGAACTTTTATTAAAGGTTTTGTTGAATTGAGTTACAGGACTCAGGAAGGTGAGGTGACCCCTGTACCCAACTAACCCGACCTCCCAGCTGAGCTCCATTGTGTGCCAAAACAGCCGATGCTTTTCAGCCTTGAGTCTGAGGAGCATGCAGGGTGGTGGGCTCCTGTTATGTCTTAGTATACGTCACCTGCTTAGACAACCAACCTCCCTTTGCTGATGGGCCATATTTATCTAATGAAGATAGGATAGAGATGGAACAGACAGGCAGAAGGGGGAGCATTGGCCCCCATTACTTGAAGAGCTGATTCTGCAGGCAGTGAAGTGTGCTATTGTTTTGTTAGACTTGGGTGCAACACAAGCAAAATATTTTTAATGTCCTTATCGGAACGGTTTTATAGATTAAGTTGTACCGAACAAATTACAAATCCTGTGCCTGTTCACGCATTACTGATGTACAGCACACCCTAGAAATACTGCACTGAAAGAAGGAGGCAAAATAACGCATAGCATGGATTGTTACTTGTTCCTAAGCCCCACAATGCAGCACAATCAATGTGGGCACACGCTGCCGCAGCGAAGGACCACTGTACTGTCAGTACAACAACAGGGTAGTTTCTTTTGGGGGTAAGGACATGAGAAAGGGTTCCCCATGTTGGGACACTGCATTTCCTCATGCTGCTGCTGTGTCAGCTTGGTGAGAGGGAACCCGAAAGTTCTTCAGCCAGGCAATGCTTCCTTTTAATGCTGCCAGTTTAGGCCTCGCCGCTCAGTGGTGCTTCCCGTCGCTTCCAGCAAGAGAAGGGCTGTTGGTTGTGCTGTCGCCGGCTGGAGGGTGCACTGCTGCTTTAGTTACTGCTGCATAATAGTATGCTGGGAGCTGTCAGGTTCCTCAGTGACAGCATGAATGGTAGTTGAGGGGAGGAGAGTTGCAGTCCCACATCTCAGATGCTGCGGACAACATTTGATGCTGTTTCTTCTCCCCTAGTATGTGCCCGAGGATCTCCTCCCAGTCTACAGGGACAAAGTTGTACCTGTTGCTGATATAATTACTCCTAACCAGTTTGAAGCTGAGTAAGTACTTACTTCCTTTTATAGCCAAATAGACTTGGGGATAAAAGCAGGGGAGACTGATACCCATTCTTTTATTTGTCTCAATGCAGTGCAGTATGTATGTGTTAGGTTTTGGTTTTTAGCTGTTACTTTCAAGTGGTGCTTTTCAGCAAACCTCCAACTGTTCCATACTGAAACCAATAAAAAAATCTGGCAGTTACATGAGGAAAAGATTTCTCTGGTTTTCTCCGGTCTCTCATTTTCATTACTTCTTGTTGTCTCCAGAGGCCCGTATCTAGGGCAGGTTGAAAAAATACTTCTCTTCCCTTCCCCATCCTTAACCATTCCTAGAAAAATTTGTATTGTATGTCAGAATATTAAAACTGAAATAGTTTGACTCAAACCCCCCAAAATAGATTCAGAAATACTACCATGGCAACATCTCACAGGAGTTAAGAATTTAAATGCCTCCTGCCCATCCTGTGTACATAGCTGTAACTTCAGTCAGGAGATTGTCTGTTGTGATACATCGCAGGCTGTCCCCCTAAGTGGGGGAGCAGCTACACGGGAGATGGAGAGAAGACACTTGTGGGGGAATCTTATGATACAGGGATCTCTACAGGAGGCAGGTTAGGACTGGTGTGAGTCCACTTCAGAAACGCTGTGTATCTGTGCACATAACTTTTAAAGATGGCAGTCTGGTACAGCAGACTGTCTGTGTAACTACAGACTGTTTAGGCTTCTATGGTGCAGTCCAAGCTTATCCTCCTTGAGTAAACAAAGCAGTCATTGCCTGGAGAACTTGCGCTCTTTTAAGATTTCTGTTTCATTCTCAGGTTACTCACGGGCAGGAAGATTCACACAGAAAAAGACACTTTAGAGGTAAGTAAGCAAGTGGTAGGATGTGTAAGATCTCCTCCTGTATTCCTGCCTGCAGTGCTGCAGCTTGCCATTCGTCCTTAACCTTGAAGTCACTTTGGCCTCTGTCCTTTCTCTCCATTTATCGTTAAAACTTGTGCACTCCAGGTGCAAAACACTTTCTGTTCTAGTGCCGGCCTTGTGAAAAAACTTCCCGAAAGAACCACAGGTAAAGGCATTGCAGTGGTAACGAGTAGATCTCTGCGAGCTTGTTTTCCTGCAGTGTAAGAAGGCTAGCAGCAGCACAGCTGGCGAGTAACCCACATGCTGTCAGCGCTGTGGAAATGCCCTGGGGTGGGGAAAACCCCGGGTGACCCCGAGCATGAGAAACCTTCGTGAGTAGCTCCCTCTGCTGTCCACAGGCGAGTCGTGCAAGAGCCGTGCTGAGCGGCAGGACAGACATTTCTCGTTCTCCATACAGACTGCTTGCAAGGAAGAGAGCTTGCTAGCAAACTCTTACAGGGACTGATTGAATACGCTCTGAATCTCTTCCTGACAGTGTGTGCTGGTGCTCTGTTTCTCTTCCTTAAGTTGACTCAAAGGGGATGAGAGCTGGGTTGCAAAAGGATAGGTCGCGTAGGTGAGAAACCAGACTGGATGCGATGGCCTTTGGGTACTTCCTGGTGAAAGACAGACAAATCCACGGCAGTGATAGCTGCTGTCATCGCCATACAGAGATGATAGATCGTCCACAAATATACTGCATTGAGGTGAAAGGCTTTACCCTCTTACACAAACTGCAGAAAATAAAAAGCTGCAGGGCTTGGTGATGAAGGACAAAATAGGAATATGGTTTTATTGGTGTCTTGAGAAGGGCTGAGCTCTTTGTTTTGTTGACTAGTCAAGTGCTTTAATAATGGGATGATGTTATTTCTTCCAGTTTGGTTTTGAACTTCAGAGGAACACAAAATCTTTAAACAAAAAGCAGCTGCGGTGGCACCCTGGAGAGTAGCGGGGGTCTGTCAGCCCAAATGTTTGGTTTTTTTTTCTCTTTTCCTCCAGCAACATCATGCAACATGTGTTGATTACCATCTCTTCATGGCAGAAAGCAGCTCCAAAGATCTCAGCTCTCTTACTTCCTGCCCCCCTGCCCCTGTTTTACATTACCCCACTGTGCTGGGTGAGGGTGAAGAACTGTGCTTCATGCCACTAGCTGCTAACTACAACTCAGTTCTTCTATTCTCATCCTCACCAGTGGAACCACGGTCTTGAGAACAACGCTGTTTGCTGAGCAGCCATTAGTTTTAGGTTTGCGTATTTCAGCTGCAAACACAAGTTGCGTGTGCTAAACAATTTTACGAGTTAGTTTTCTGACAGTCTGTCTGAATTGTGATAGCTCTTATTTGCGATGGGCTTTAAAAAAACTCTTCTAAAGAGATGGAATTAGGAATGGAGACATTTTTAAAACAGTTGCTTGCAGGATATTATATTTTAATCTGTCTGTCTGCCCAGCTGCGTGTCATATATAGGTCTATCCTGAGTAATAATGCATGCTGGAATTCATCCCCTATGGAGGGGGTAGGAATTCTGACATTGATTTCTATGGTGACATGCCTTCATTCATGTCTTTAGCAAGACTAGTGACAGCAGTATAGTCTTCCAACATAAAATTAAATATGACATAATATTAATGTAAAAGGGGCTAAGTCCTACAACTAGAAATACTGGTGATTAGGTTCTTGGTGAATTGTGACTGAGAAATGAAATTGAGTTTAATATTACTTCACAGGCTGATTATGTCAGCATATGCTGGTAGTTTTACTGCTTCTTTAAAACCGACCGATGTCTGTGCAAAGAGGTTTGACAGTTGAAGAAACTTGGAGGCTTAGACAAGAAAGAAAAGCAATGGAGAATTAAAAAATAGCAGAAATAAATCCTTATCATTCAGCTGCTCATGAGTCATAGCTAGCCTGAGAGGATTTTTAGTTAAACTCTTCTGGGAAAATTAATATTTTATCTGTGTTTTATGCTAAACTCATTATTGAAGTCATTCTTTCTTCTGTGAAATCAAAATCGCTTCTGTAGCAACCAATTGTGACATCAGGAGTATTAATGAGTTTAAGTGAGAAACGCAGAGTGGAAATACAGCTGCAAAGGTACATAATTCACAGGTGTAATTTGGGGTTTGAAACAGAATGAGAAAAGAAGATTGAGAGAGACACACTTGTGCCTCTGATTTAGCTCTTTAACTTTTAATTTTTCCTAACTCTTAAAGTAGTAGCTAAATAAGACTTCACGACCTGGAGTTATTTACTTTCTAGCAAGTGTTTCAAGATGCCAGCTCAGGTGCATGTGTCTGTATATTTGTTCTCTTATTCTTTTGATAATATGTTCTGAAAACATGATGGCAGACAAAAATTCTGATCACAGCTGAAACAGAGGAACATCCAAGGATAATACATAGATGCTTGTATATTTTAAGAAGTGTGTACACTTAAATACGGATGTTTCGATTCCCCTATTTAGAATTATTTCCCCTAGTTCAACTGAATTCTTCGAGTAGAAACTGTTTTTTCTCTTTACAAAAGATGCCAAAATAAGGCACTTGTCAAAAATCCTCAGTAGTATGAATGATGCAAGGTTTAATCAACACGTATTGCAGTCACTGATTCCTACGTTTTTGCACATGGAAAGGTAATGGATATGCTCCATGCCATGGGACCAGAGACTGTGGTGATTACAAGCTCAGATCTACAGGCGCCTCTAGGAAATGACTACCTGATTGCCCTGGGAAGCCACAGAACAAGTAAGTCACAAACTCCTTTGTTAAACTGTGCTTTCTTTTAACCTGTTCTGTGCTTTCAGTTACTTTTTTAAGAAGTAGTTTCATCAGACCCATTTGTAGTGCATGGAAGGAGCTTAGATCCCCAAGTGAACTTCCTCTCCTACAGTAGTATCAGAGTGGTAAGCGTGGGGCTCCTCCATGAGGGAAGACAACAAGCTGGGAGCTGAGCATGATGATAGCACAGGCAGAGCACTGCCCTCACCAAAAGGGCACAGGCCCACAGTATCTGGATGAGGTCAGCAGGGCAGGGGTGGCGATAGCGGACAGGTCCCATTGGCAGTCCACTGATCACCGGAGAAAGGTGAGACAAGCCAGGTCCGAGATCAATCTGGAAAATCCAATCAGTAAGTCAGGACAGCAGGGCTGTACACAGGTACGCCTGCGACATAGCTTAGGCAAGGATGCTTGCGCCTGGGCCTGAGCTTCTGTGCAGCTCCTGGGCAAGCGGGCAGAGGGTGCATGGGTGAAGGATGTTCTAGGTGAGGTTGATCAGGGCTGTTAAAGCCCTTAGTAGTGGCCCTGACAAGTAGTAGCAGTATAAAACAGGAACTTTGAATGCTTTTATGAAAAGTTACGCTGTCCTGTTAGCAGATTGTGCCTCCCCTGAGAGGCTGTAAAATGTCCTTCTACTTCTTTATATCCCCTTCTATACCATCACCAAGATTTCACTGTGCGTTTGGACTGTCGCAGGATGTTTTTACCTGAGAAGGGCATAGTTATGTGGGATGGTATATGATCTCATTTTCTGGTTTATCCAGGGGATCTAAATGTGGGCATCACGTTCTGGACTGCTGAGGAACTGAAAAAGTCTTGATATTTAAAACAGATTCCACTAACAATCAGTTGGTGGGTCTTAGCACTCGGTACATGCCAGATCTGCAATAAGTCCGGTCATTCTAATGGTGACTACAATATGGCACATGGATCAGATATTCTCTGCTGATGTCTACGGCTGCTCTGGTGCCTTCATACAACCCAAAGATATTCTCGATTATGGTTTGGGATGCCCCATCTAGGATTCAGCAGTCTCCATAAATATGTGGTTTCCTGATCAAGCTGCTGCTGTCTAAATGAAAATAGTTGGCTCTCAGTCCTTCATGAAAATGAAGGTGCTAGCTACCTGCTGCCTTTTAAGTGAAGTATCTACAGTATATAAGTTGTAAATGCTATCCCAACTTGGCAAAGTTTTGACAGGTTGCACCTTTTAAAAGAGCTGGTACAAAGTTTACAAGACTCCTTAGCATCTTTATGTTCCAAACAACACGGGAATTCAAATCACTTTTAAATTATAGTAAACGCTATTGTATTAGTTGCCAGGTCTGTTACTTAACTCTCTATCTGTGTTGTAGCTAAAGCAGACGGTACCAAAGTGACACAAAGGATTCGAGTGGAGTCTCCTAAAGTGGATGCTGTCTTTGTTGGAACAGGAGACTTGTTTGCTGCTATGCTTTTGGCATGGACACATAAGCATCCAAACAATTTGAAGGTCTGGGCGAAGTTATTTGTGTCTCTGCATGTTTAGACTATGTTTCTCTCTCTCTCTCTTTTTTTTTTTTTTTTTTTTTTTAACTTTTAATCTATGACATTATTTAAAGATCTCTTCTGGTTTGGCTTTTTCTCCTTACCTCAGAGGAAAAAAAGCAGAATTTCCCTTTTGCCAAAACACTTTAGCTTGTACAGCTTTGGATGGTCACATTTCAGTTACATGGATTTTGTAATTTTGCCAAATAAGATGTTCAGTGAGAGAGAGAGAGACTCCATGCATATCTGTAATTATATTTTTTGCCCTCACTTCATAATAAGCACTGAAAATAATTTATCAGATATATTTTTCTGTTTCTTTCCCTTAAGCACATAGAGTCCTCAGTACAGGTGCGTGGTTTCTAATACCTATTTCGGGAGAATTAAGAGAGTCTAAAATTTTTTTCCCAAACTCTATATTACATAGGTGTCATCCTGTTTGTGTCTTGTCAGTCATGTTTGCCTCTTAATAGCAGTGTTTTTGAAATAATAATATTAAACTAGGCAGCTGAAATTTTACTAAAACCTGAATATATTCTGTTCATGCAGGTGGCATGTGAAAAGACTGTGTCGGCCATGCAACATGTTCTGCAAAGGACCATTAAGAGTGCCAAAGGTAATTCATTCAAACCTTGTTCCCTTGTTCTGTCTGGGTTTGCATCAGAAGAAACATTCTAAGAGCTTTCTGGGTTTCCTGGCTAAAGGCAGCCCTCAGTGCAGAAGCAGCCAGAGAATTTACAGAATGAGAGCTTGGTAGTCTTGTCAGTGCATGTTCCTTACTGTGTCCTCCAAGCCTATTTTTGACAACACCCGACTGAAGATGTCACTGTTCAGCTTGTAGTGGGACTGCAGTCATGCTGACTGCGGTTGACTGTGTTGCAAAACAGTGGCGGAAGAACTTGGGGAAATGCTGAGTTTGATGTGCAAGAGAGGTTCTGTTTTAAGTGTAGCTCGCTCACTTACCCTTTGAGTGCATGTGTTTAGTATTGAGAAGGGTTTATCAACTAATAATAAACTGTCTGTTGTGTTGGCCATGTGAGGAGTGATTTTTTTTTTTTTTTTTTTTTTTTGGCTTCTCTCCCTTTGGAGTTCCCATGTCTTTCAATTCCTAAGGAGATCCAGATGGGATCTGTGGGTTCTCAGAGCATGTCCATGTCACTTTCTAATAACAGCAGAGCCATGTTTCTTTCCTGGAGAGAGGTGCAGAACAGGGGTGATAAGAAATCACAGTGCTGACCTGGATCTTCCACCTTGGAAGCCTTTAGGAGGGGGTAGTAAGGGAGATTGGAGAGGGGAGGAGGGTAAAAAAAATAGTGGGATAACAGAACAGTGTAACTTGTTTTTTTTTATACTGCTGTTTTTAATGACATTCTGATGTCATCTTTTTAGCACAAGCTGGAGAAGGAAACAAACCAAACTCAGCCCACCTGGAACTGAGAATGGTCCAAAGCAGAAAGGACATAGAAAACCCAGAGATCATAGTGAAAGCCACCGTGTTATAAAGGCTGTATGTCTCCAATAACGCACAATGTATTGATGTCCTCATTTCTTTCCTGTAAATTGTAATATTTGCCTTAGATCTGTGACTGAAACCTGACTTCCATGAAATAGTGCCCAGCATAGGCAGATATCCACTCTCAAACATATGTGCTGGCCTTGCTCAGTTTTAAAAACAAAACAGTCAGTGTGCATTGAAGCATATTACCAGGTATCAAAATGGCTGTCAAATTCACTTAGTCTGTGTAATTACCCAGGGCAAGAGAGTACAATGTTCCTGCCTTGCCAAAAACTTTAGATGTGAATTTGCTAATGGAATGCTTGACTGACTGGAAAATATATTTCAAGATGGCATCTAGTGCCAATGTAGCTGGCTCCATGCTCCCTTTTCCTGGAGATATCTGGTTACCTGCTCTGGTATTCAGCATCTCAGCAGCTGTGAAACTAAGCAGGGTTAAAACTACACACAAAGTTCTGTTTGTGTGTAGGAGTACTTTGAAGATGTTTGGCATTTAAGTACTCTGAAGTGACCTTGAGGTGTCATTCACATTACGGATAACTGTTCCTGTTTCTTGTCTGTGAACAGCTGCGCAGTTTCAGGTTTTGCAGGTATTGGCTGCTTTTTTCTAATGTCTGTGTGCCCACACGATTTTCTTCCAAAAGCTGCTCCAGAAGCATCTTCATTATTAAGATAATATCTTTATTCAGTAGCACTGTTTAGAAGTTTGTAGTCCCACCTCCGAGGCCAGGTTTGATTCTTTGTTTAGTTTTTAACTAAGGACAAACATTCTGTAAGGACAAAAGAGAAAGCAGCTCTTAGCCTGAAAGCTGGCTACCCTAGTTTGTTCTTCATGGGTGGATGTATTTACAAACTATGCGGGGCACTTCCGCTTAACAATAGCAAGTACTATTGGCAGGCTTATCAATGAAGTAATGTGGTAAAAGTAATATTTTTAGTTTAGTAAGGTTTAGTAAATTACATATGTTTACCAAATGCAGTGAAACATACAAAATTAATTTGTTCCTAATGTAAGTCTCTGCAGCCTATGCTGATTAGAGGTGACAGAAATGCATTATTATTAATGCATCTTTATTTCAAAATTCTGCTTCATAAGGCTTCCAAACGGGATTCTTAATAATTTCAGCATCCTATACATCACAGCCACATATTATACCAGTAGGGCAGATATGCTGACAGGTACTGACCACTCGTAATTCCGTATGGTTTCTGTATGGGACTGAAGTTCTTGCTTCCCCAAGGGAAGTGTCTAGTGTATTGTTAAATCCAAATTCAGTTAATGAGCTTTATTTGTCTCAGACAGCATAGGAAGATTAAAATTGCGTTTCTACTTGCAGTGACATGAAGCAAATTTGTATTAGAGGAAAGGGCTGAGCTTTTCTTGGTTACCTGAGTATGCTCAGGAAGCTCACCCTTGGGTATCTCCCAGGTACCTTTCCTGCATCTTCCTCGTCATACCAGCCTAACCGATACTGTCACTTGCATAGCTTGGGAGTCCCCAGAAGGGCTAGTTTGGAGATTGCTTTGGCCACTGGAGTCTTCACATATCCCACCATTTTTGTGGATTTTCTGCCAATGTAAAAGTTAATTGGCTTTACCTAGTAGAAGAGTAACTTATTCTTGAAGCGAATTTTTAGCTGAATAGCTTTTTTTCATAGAGTAAGACTTCATAATTAATACATTTCTGAAATCCCTCATTTTCAGTATCACTGAAGCAAATGAAATTTAAGAGATGAACACATTTTGCAATAAATGTAAGAGGCATACTTCAGGCTTTCACTCTCAACAACTAATAATAATTTTATTTCTTCTCATGCATTTGTCAGTAAAAATGAAAGAAAAGATCATATGACTTGAGAATTTTAAGGGGAAAAAAAAACCCCAGAAATGACCTACTAAATGTGACTCTACTGCTACAGTTTTTAGTAACCACTGCCATGAAATAACTTTCTAGCAATAATAATTTTGGTGATATGAACAGTTGCTAAAATTAGCAGTCAGTAACAGAGATGAGCTCATGGCTGATATCCAACATGTAAAAAGACATGAACTATCTCAACAGTGTGTATAAATATCTGATGGGAAACAGTGGAGAAGGAGCTGGGCTCTTCTCAGTGGTGCCCAATGAAGGGATAACAGGCAATGGGCACAAATTTAAATACAGGAAATTCTGTTTAAACATTAAAAAATTGTAATTCACTGTGAGGGTGATCAAACACTGGCACAGGTTGCTCAGAGAGGCTGTGGAGTCTCCATCCTTGGAGATATTCAAAACCTGGCTGAACACGGCCCTGAGAAACCTGCTGTACTTGACCCTGCTTGCACAGTGGGATTGGTCTAGATGATCTCCAGAGGTCCCTTCCAACCTCAACCATTCTGTGATTCTGTAAAGTACAACAAATTGCCTTTATTTACAGTGCTGTATTTTTAAATTGATGCAAATATTTTTTTTTTCTTCCCGAGACATAAACTTCCAGATAAGCTAGGAAATAGCTGAGTATTAATAATTCGCCCCCTTTTTAGATAAGCTCCTTTTTGCTTGGGCAGTTGTGCCAGGAATACCTGGCCTTTTTTGCCTTTTTGAGACAGCTGTTTTCAGCAAAGGTATTTAAATACTGTAGCTGGTGATGCATTTCAACAGCTGAATTCAAAAAGATTTTAACCGTTTCTAGCATTGATTAAAGAAGTGTTGCATGCCATATTCAGAACATAACTATGAGTTTATCTTTTAAAATTAGACTATTTCACGTGGAAGTGTATAATCCCTACCATCCTCTTGGGAAGAAGGGATCAACATACTGAACTTCCCTGCCTGTACATATTATGGTCGACTTAGCAGCATTACGCTTGACACCCTCACTCAGCTGTACCCAGCTTTGCAGCTCCTATGGGTCACATACAGAAATCTTCAGTCAGCCAAGCTTTGAGACCTCTACTGTGTCCCTCAGATTGCCAAGAATTAGGTGAATACCAGGAGCAGTTCACATGCAGCAGATGACATTTGATTCCTGTGGTCCCGTGGCTCCAGCACAGACCTTAGCTGGGTCTGGAGGTGGCTCCTGGTGCGCTGTCTCCTATAGCCAGGGCTGTGGCTTGCCCTGCACCCCCTGCACCAGCGTTAGCTTCATTGCCAGTCACGTAACACGGCCTGGCCTGGGAGCTGCATGGGGCCAAATTGAGAGCCATATGGCGGCCATCCCTGCACTAGTGCAGTGCAAAATTGAGGTTCTTCAGTTCTTCACATCAGGGGATCAACAGGAGAGATAAGCTCAAAATTGGCCTTTTAATTTTTTTTTAAGCAGCAATAAGTATGCACTGTCAAAATTTGCTGTCAGGGGAACCCTACCTGTTACAAGCATGTACTACAGAAAAGCCCTTTTAGTAAGTGTGAGACAGCACAATTTTTTTTTGCTGCTAAAAAAACCAGACTTTCACAAGGGAATTGAGAGAAAGACTGGTTTTCTCTGAAATAAAGAAGCTTAGAATTTAGGAAACTTAAAGCTATTTTGCAAACAAGGTTTTATCTGTAAACCATAATGAACTGTGATCTTGCCATCAAAGAGAAAGTGATATGTTTGTTGGAGCAGCTTATTCCTGTCAGGTGTGATCTTTTCCCACTGCTTCAGAGAATGGATCGGTTCAGTAAGTCACACCTTCCTTAGAATCTGTGACACATCCATGTTAAAAAAAAAAAAAAGTGCTCAATCTGCAAAAGTTCATATTTTGCAGTAGCTGGATTCTGTAGCAATGGGCTGCTACCTGCTTCTGCTTAAGTCCCTGGGTGTTGCTCATGTGATACCTGTTTTAAACTCCCACTGACCTGATCTACCTTAGGTCAGGTTTATGTCTTCAGTGAAGAATCAGGCTTAGCATCTCTTGCCAGGAACAAACATCAGAAATGATATGTAAATATATTCTGTAGCTAACGTTTTGTAGTCACAACAGGCTAACAGGTATTTTTAAATGTTGAGGTATACGTACTTGATACTTGGATGCATTTTTTTCAGAGTTACACAGCGCTTTTCCATAACGTTTGCAGAACAAAATTCAAAGGCTCAGCACAGTCCTGCCCAATCTTTTATTCCCTCCTCTCCTCCTGCATATAATATCTGAATCTATTTCTGAATTCCTACTGTCTGTCTGGTGCAGCTGGGAAGTGTCTCGGTATTACACAGCTGCCCACTCTTTATTTAAGGGCTTGGAGGAGCCCTGTCAGGGTTGTCTGATCCACTTGCAGATCCTTAGGTAAAGAAAAACGGTTAGCCTAAACTAGTTTAGGTCCCAACTGATGACAGAAGAACAAGCCCTTTAGCCCAGAGAGTGGAGTCAATAACCGATGGATAATCTTCCATGACCGTCCTAACAGCATGAAAGGTGTCTGTAACCCACCAGCCCAGCATTCACCAGTTAGGGACTGCTGACTTCACTGCCACGCGTACGCCCGTGTATACGTGTGAAGTTAGCAGCGAAGGGTGCTCCTAACGCTGAAGTGCATGTACGCATGGGAGCGGTGAATGCTTTGTGCTTGTGTCCAGTCAACTTCCCCACCATTCTTTATTTTTGCTTACTGGAAATAATTTCTGTTGGAGCCCTTTTTTCTGGAATGAACTTTGCGGTGTATGTGGTCAGCCATTTTGATTACTGCAAGTGCACTCATGTGGAGCCATTGTGCAGGAGAGACCAAAAGTTGCTTACAAGCGATCTACTCTATTCTGGGCCTGGATTAGTCTCTACATGCTTAAAATTCCCATGTACCTCTTTGGGAGACATGCATAAAGACATTATGCTAACATCTACGCTATTCACAATTGATATAAACATTTAAGAAATCTGCAGTATGAATTGTTAATGTTTGTTTCTGATTTTTATCATAAGTGGGAGAAATCTATAATCAATGTGTTATACAAAAGAATCAGAGGACCAGGGTTTCCAGCTACTCGTACTGCCTTTATGAGTATTTTAACTGTGTCTTGATTGGATGGTGTTAATTTGTTGTCTGAGACT